GCAAGAATGATCAAGTCAGATTATCCGTCTCATTTCCTTAGGGTGCTTTTTAGTTAATTAACATTTTAATTTGAAAGAAAAATAGGAGCTAGCAGGTAGCATAGTGGTTAAGGTGCTAGACTCCCACGTGGCTGACCGTGGATCAAGTCTCTGACACAGTGGCTTAAAAAGCACGCCGGGCACATGTGCGTGCATGCCCAAAAGTCTTGAGAGAAGACAAGAAGGGACTGTGGTGTGGTCATCCCCCTTGGGGGGTGATTTCTCATTTTCCCTCTCACTGTCTCACTGGCGAGCACATGCGCCCTATGGTAAGAATGGGAGGGGAAAAAAAAGTTCGAAAAATTAAAATCCAAGGCTTACAAGCCATTTGAGGAATAGGTAAAAGAATTCTCTTACAAATGCTCAAGTGTGGGGTAAAAAACAGAAATCACATTCAGAGCACCCAAAAGAAATGGGCTTGTGAGTGCTGACACTCACCGCAAAATGTCTGGGTTCACGCTGCTTAGTTTTGCCAACTCTGAACATTTACAGGATTTCTTCTGCACTTTCTCAAAGTAGCACAATGGCCTTAATTTAGTCAATACTCAGAACATCTTACAGTCTCGGTAACCAAAACTGAGTATTGCTGGTTAAGCTGAAAACTACCACTGGCAAACTTGGGAATTTTTTTTTTTTTTTTTTTGGAGAGGTTTTTGCTATAGGGCGCGTGCGCTTGCCAGAAAGACAGAGAAAGTGAGAAATCACCCCCCATGGGGTTTGGCCACCCATAATCCCTTCTCCTCCATTCTCCTCTTGGGATCTTGGGTGTGCATGCACACACGCCCAGTGTGAGTTTAAGCCGCCAGGTCCGGGACTTGAACCATGGTCGACTACATGGGAGTCCAGTGACATAGCCATTAAGCTAACTGCTGGTCCCCAGCAAATGTTTTTTTAATTTGCCAGAAGGCATGTGTGCTTGCCAGAGAGGGAAAGTGAGAAAGTGCCCCACCCCCCAGGGAAGATGGTCACACCACAATCCCTTCTATCCTCTTCTTGGGCATACACACACATGCACCCAGAGTATTTTTCAAGCCTCTGGGTCAGGACTCAAAACTATGCAACTGGCGGCATGGGATCCACCTGCCTTAACCACCATACCACTGGCTGGCCCAGGAATTATTTAGAAGTGGGTTTTTCCTTCTTCTGCCAGAGCAATAGGTATTGTGTGATTTTAAACTACAGGGATGTCCTGGTGATTAGGAGAGTTGAATCCCACATGGCTTACAACACAGTTCGAATCCTGGCTCTAGTAGCTTGAAAAACACACTCGGCACATGTGCATTCCCAAAATCCCTACAGGATGGAGAAATGGAGGAGAAGGAATTGCAGTGTGACCACACCCCACTAGGGGGTACTTTCCTCCTCTCTCTCTCCCTGTCTCTCTCTGGCAAGTGGATGTCAGAAACAAACTGCACGGTGATGAACTGTGTGGGGGACATCAATAATGAGTGACAGTTAATGAAGCAGTGACGGATTTCACATGTCAGATACACCTGGGTGTGAGGCCAGTTCTGATCCTCACTGGACGCGCCTGGAACTATGCCTTCTAGCTGAGTCTAGATTTTCACCCAAAATGGGAAAAATGCCACATTCCTGCAGAAACTTCTAGTGTCAGGGCTCAACACAATTATGTACCCACAAAGCGCAGTAGCAACACACTGGAGTACTCAGTAGGTGGCAGCTTTGTTACTAGGTAAGACACAGTTCTTAAGAGCTTATCATTCAGGGAAATGCCTTAAGTGCTAGACTACATTGAAGCTGGCATTCATGGGAGGGGTCGAGAAGCTGGTAATTCCTTAAATTCTATGCTCGGAATGTTCTTTTTAGATGATTAGCATTTACGATGCCAAGACAGAACAACTTCGTATAGGACCGTATTCCTGGACGCCTTTTCCACATGTGGATTTCTGGTTGCAGCAAGATGATAAGCAAATATTAGAGGTGAGAATTTACAGGTTGTATGTATCTTAAATCTCTGGACCCTGGCTTCCTCATCTGTAAGAAGAAAAAGGGTTTAGTCTAGAGAATAGCAGTTTTTCCTTCCGTGGGGAGTAGTGATTTCTTTGGGATGCCACTAGGAGACCCCATTTTACTTTATCGGTTGGAGAAAAGTCACGTCCGGACAGAATGTGGGCAGGGGAAGCAGGAGCAGTCGACTGCTCGTGCACCCAGGCCACTTCATTTCTTACTCTCACCCGATCGCTACGGCGGCCTGAGGACATGCTCGTCACTGTCTAAGGAACAGAAAGTCTCAGCAACTGTGTTTGCCATCTCTGTCAGGGCAGGGACTAGCCCCAACACTGCTGTCCTCTCACACCCGTGACCTTGTTTTCCAGAACCTTTCCACGTCACCTCTGGCCGAGCCCCCCCACTTTGTTGACCATATTAGATCTACCTTGATGTTTTTAAAGAAACATCCATCTCCAACTAACTCACTGTTTCCTGGAAATAAAGCTCTGCTCTACAAAAAAAATGAAGATGGTTTATGGGAAAAGATCTCTTCTCCAGGAAGCTAAGGAGAATTACCAAAGAATGCAGCTTTCTGGCCTGAGCAAAGACCACTGGCGGGGCCGGGAAGAAAGTACATTTGAACTCCATCCTTTGAGTCTTGGGCTCCTCCCTGACTCAGTGTCTCGAGTGACTTCCCAAATAAAACCTTATTTTGGCAAAGGTATTTGTTTACGTTCACTTTGCGCGTCACTGAAAAGTTGCCGTCCGGCTGCCGTTTGTGGCCTGAGAGGGCAGGGGAGAAACCTACCATTCGCTGCTGTCTGAACAGCTATTTCAGGTACCTGGGTAAGTATTCCTAATTCTGCTACATTAGTGGACAGGAAAAACACTGTGACTGAGTTTGTTTGAAAAAAAGTATTTAAAATGCAAAAAAGTTCAGTGAGAATTTAAACATCTAGGGCCATTTTTTTTAAACCCTAAAATATCTTAGAGTTTAAGCCCAAAACTGTTTTATTTCTAGGCAAATGAGATAGTTCAGAAAGAAGCAAGATTCGATCTTGCTGTTCTTCAATATAATTATCTCTAAAACAGATAACCTACGAAGCTAAATTTAATCTGAGAGTAGTACAGAGCCACTGTTAAATCTGTTCTTTTAGGTGTAAAGTCACTAAAATGCCCAAATTGTGGCTGCTTTGAAGTTATATTTTTAGAAACCTTTTATTTTCTGAAGTTGCTATCCAAAAGGAAGTCACCACACCTGATTAACAGTACTATTTATAAACTGAACTCACTGGTAACAATTTCAAGAATCTTTATTGAAACCAACATTCAAATAGTATCTCAAGGGTGAAATTCTGTTTCAGGAAAACCAATTTAACAGTTCCAAATATATATAAAAACATTTAAAAATTAATCTTGTTAAAGGTGATAATTTACCCCTCCCCCATTTTATCTGCTATACTTCATTGCACCAAATGAACAGGGAAGACTGTTTAATCATCTGCACCAAAAACAAAAATAGAAGAGGAAAACTGCATTTTGACGAGTGCCAAATGTCAGAAATCACATCAAATCAGAGTGTAATTAAAGGCTTAATGTGGTGTGACTAAGGCTTCCACTACGACAGTCCGCAAGCCCAGGGTGAGTTCCCACCACCTTCCGCTCTCCGGCAGCTCGACTGCTGGACTAAGAAGGCACAGAGGCCATTGCTTGTGAGGAGGAACAGGGTAGTGCAGGGCTTCTGGAAAGCAGACGGGCTTTCGTGAGTAAGAGCCTATTTCCAGTCAGTTCAGCAAGCAGTCGGGGCGGGCCGGCCTGCGCGAGCTTACCCTCCTGGCTCTAGTTGCTGAGTCGGGCCACAGGGTGAACTGCTAGCGGGACAGAAGCTGCGAGAGCTTCAGTGAGAGATCAAAGGGGGCTGACTGCAGAGCTCAAACGGAAGCAGGGGCTGTACGACATTTAACGTTAGGCTCTTCAGGGTGGCATCTACAGGGGTTGCAACATTAACTAATAAGCTGTCTGTACTTGGGTGCCAATTTAAAAGCTTTACCGCTATGTAAAAATATACATATGTATATCTATGGTCAGGAAGAGACTTTACAGTTACTCTGAATAGACGACTTCTTCAGTTTGTTTACAAAGAGGAGAAGTGGGTTTGTGGCAGAGGACATTCCTAGACCGAAGTCCTGCCACAGCCACAGCCCGAGTGGACACAGTCCTTACTTCAGTCTCCAGGAATAGCACAGCCGGGATGGCAGGAGAGGGCCTCTGACCCTTATTTACAACCCACTGCAGCCGTTCTCCTGTCAGCCAAACCATCCAGCTATGTACTGCGACTCGATCCTACTGAAGACCCAGCAAACAGACGGCAGCGACGTGCCATCGCGCTTCTGCAGACAGCAGAGAACCTAGAGTTCCAACCAAAGCTGTTCAACCAGAAGTCAGCCTGTGCAGCCTAACCACACTCAACGCTGATGCCGGGAAAGGGGAGAGCCGGGGTTTCAAGTGGCAGACACTTGAAGTTCTAGTTCTAGTGTTCTCTGTGAATGAAAGTGTTTACGGAAACTTGGGGGAAATGGTGTTACTACAGTCAAGTAGGACAGAGACAGTAGTTGGTTGTTCTACACACACAAAAAGTCACACAACCGACTGCCCTTCTTGAAAGCCTGGTTTTCAGGCATGTCCTTGTGCGAAAATCCCAGTGAAGCACAAATAACGGTAACCTCTATTGTATTAGCATGTGGCACAGTTCACATTTCAATAAAACTTCATCTTCCCTGCAACAACAGCACAGTCTCAAACTGAACACTCATTTTATCTCAAGCTCTCCGGCTCTTCTACCTGTGGACGGTCATCTTCAGGGCACTGGGCCCTCTGGAGGGCCTCGGGCTGGGCAGCTTTCTGGGAACTGGGCGCTCCTGGGTGTGGCTCTGGGCTGCTGGCCTCCAGGGTGCTTTGCTCAGGGCCGCTGGACAGGTGCTCCACCTTCTCTAAGTCTTCGACATGACTGACGGAGCTGGTCTCACTCAAAGCATCGGAACCTCTCCCAGACCTTTTAAAAGGCTTCTGGCCTAGAGAAGGATAGAGAACAACGTCGAAAGCTCAGAAAGGCTCTCCGTCCAACATGCAGTTGCTTTATTTAATAACGGCTTCAGCAGAAATCCCTGGTACTCCTGACTGAAGCACTTCACAAGATAGAGAGCTGAAAGCTGTTTCCCTTCCCAGCACTACACGTTCCCCAGCTGGGAACCCTGAGCTTGTGATCAGGAACCCTCAGGACAGTAGACGCCGTGGTTAAAGGAGCGCCATCTTACCAGACCTTGCCCCCCTGGAGTGCAACTGGGAGGCTTTATTTTTTTAAATTTGCTGGAGGGCACGAGTGCTTGCTGGATACAGACAGAAAGCAGCTCCCACGGGGAATGGCCATGCTGCAAATACCTTCTCCATCTACCCTCATTTGGGGATTTCAGGCACGCACACACACACACACCCAGTGTTTCTCAAGCCACCAGGTCTGGGACTGAAACTGTGCCATCTGTCCTGTGGGACCCAGCCACTCTAACCACCATGCCACAGGCTGGCCCACTGAAATGGTTCTTCAAGGCCAACTCCCAAGGCTACTGAGCGGAAATGTAAGGGGGACATGATAGTTGGTCTTAAATGAAGAAAAAGAGCAGGGGCAAAGAACCCAGAAAACAAAGGAATGCAAGTTAGCAAATGTGGGGAAGCGTTACGTGTCGCGGATGAAGGCGCAGTCTCCCGGGGAAGAGCCAGTTTCCGTCAGTGCTAATGACCCCACGGTGGAGATGCTATGTACCTGGAAGTCTCTGTTTAGTGCGAACGCCCGAGGGGGTTGGAGGCGGCGTCACTCCCGTACCTTGTACTTTGTAGACATACGTGTGTTCCGTGGACTCGAGAGAGCCTGCAGAAAAAGAAAGGAGGGGTGGGCAGAGACCCCTGGCACAGGCTGGCCTGAGAGACGACCCCAGCCCCACTCAGCTTCGCCTCTAATCAGCTTCTTCCAGCAACTCAGCTTCCCTCAACCTGCTGGCGACATGGCACTTCTGAAACACGCTGAGGGGGTCCAAGGGAACTCTGACTCTGAGCCCTGTCGGCCACCAGAGCCTCGGCCCCGCCAGTGTGGCTCCCTCCTCTCCCGTCTTCTGTGGGCATGTGAACACTCGGGCAGCAGCATGTCTGCAGTCAGGCCGACTGGGAAACGCCTTTTAGCAACAAGGTATGGATGCCTTTTCGGTAAGGGCTGAAGCCTAGATGAAAAGTCCAGTACTTCTTTGCCATCATGACAGTGCAGTCACCACCTCCTGGGGAAGGACCTCAGGTTTAGGCAACTGTTACATGAAACAGGAAAGGACGAGCCAATACTCTAATGTCCTCTCCAATCCCAGAGCTGGTTGCCTCGTTGGAAACATGTCCCAGTGCTGTCTACCACACCTTTGAATTTCCCCTTCGGAAAGCAGCCATTGGTGGGGCAAAAGACTAGTAAGGGCTGCACAGACTTTAACCTTGAACCACGATGTCCAAGACACACCGCCTCGAGAGTCCAAACAGCTGAACGCACGCGTTCTCACCGAATTCCGGAAGAGGAGCCTGCGCGCTGCAGAAATGGGTCTCTGGTTCTGTTTTCAGTTGTTGGGTGGGAGGAGGGTGACAGAGCCGCAAGGGCAGACAAACCTGTCCCTTTAGTTTCCTGGCACAGCACCCAGGGAGAAAGACTGGGACCTTCAAAGGGCTGCGTGGCTGAGGTGCCTTGGGACCCCAGGGCACTTGGTTAAAACCCTCAGGGTTGGTGAGATCTCCGCAGAGGCTAGTCCAGCCTACCTGCTGTTAAGTTAAAAGTTCTTCCCTTTTGTGAAGCTTGTACAGGAGAAAACCAATTCAGCACGGATCCAACTACCGGGATCTGCCGCAACACGCCCTGCAAAACACGCCATCACTCAAGGTCACTTTGCTCGGCGCCCCCTACCCAGCCTGATGCCCGGGAAGTCCCACTGTGGCCTCACCTCTTCCAGAAGTCGTTCCTCATTTGCCTTCTGCAGCTGAACCTGAGCTTCCTGGATTCCTTTCCGAACGACTTCTGTCATGTTTTCTAGAAGCTGTGTTAGGACCAGGAAAGGCATTAGTTGTTCTTGCCTGGAGCCTAGATAAGCTGATACAGCACTGGAGACATTTTCAAAAGTATGTCAGGAAATGCAATTCTGCACTTAAATGCCAGTGTAAAAATAAAATAGAAAATCAAATAGAAGAGCTTATAAAATCTTATGGAGGCTGGGCATATACACCCTGGAGAGCAGCCCTGTTTGCCAGGCAACAGAGGAGGGAAAACTCGTTAGAACCGAAGGTTGTATCAACAGAAAACACACGCTCTCCCCAGATGAACAAGGCAGGCTCCTCAGCCTCATTTCAGACTGCCTTCTCTTCTCACCCCACCAAAAGTGAACCATAGGACACATGGTTCTGTTTGAGGCCAGTCTGGCTGTGGTCCCCTTTCTTTCCTTCTGAGTGACTTCTAGGGCATCAAACACCTGCTTTGGAGACCACCCTGTGGGCCTGTGGCCTGGCCCTGCGCACCAGCTGGCCCACAGGAGCAGCTCTATCACCAGCGGCAGAGCCCCCCAAACAGGCACATCCCAGCACCCAGCTCCGATTAGGAAGCCTTCCTAGGCCTTGCCAGGGAAGTGACTATGTCCTCCAAAGCCCAGGAATGGGCTAAAACAGTGCTCGGTCTTACAGACCCGTGAGTTCTCCTCAATCTCCCGGGCTGTGACTGCAATGGTCTCCACCAGTTCGGAAACGTCGACATCGTCGCTCGTCATGCCAATGTAAATGCAGCTCTTCATACTCTTATACTCAGGGCCTGCAGGAAGGAGCGACAGACAGACGTGGACCCCACGTCCTCTGCCATGAGCAAGGCATGGCCCACTCTCCTGCACTGCAGCCTGACCACGTGAACAGGAGTGTCCTTTACAGAGACTCCAAGGGGAGGGAAATGCCAGAGGGGTGCAGGTGGGAAGGGAGACACCCCACCCTAGGGAGAACTGCACCTTCACCCGGACCAAACCAAAGTTCCTCCAGAGATAAAACCCCTTTCCCTTTAAGCCAAGTAGAAAAGGCTTTTCTTTTTTTTTAAGAGAGATTTTTGCTTTAGGGCACATGTGCTCACCAGAGAGACAGAAAGCGAGAAATCACCCATAGGGGGATGGCCACACTACAGTCCCTTAATCCCTTCTCTTCCAGTCTCCTCTGAGGATTCTGGGCACACACACACATGTACCCAGCGTGTTTCAAGCTTCTGGGTCCAGGACTTGAACAGCTGTTGACTATGTGGGAGCCCAGTAATGTAACCAGTACACCATCTGCTGGTTCCTAGAAAAGGGTCTTCTAAAGTCCACAGTTGACTTACAAAAATAGTAATTACCCATTTTAAATGTCAGGTCGGATTCCAGTTCATTTAACTTTTTCAAGAGTCCAGCATGGATCTGTTCCCCTTCTGGATCTGACTTCAAACTGCTCTTATCATCGTTGGCATGTTCATACCTGTAAACAGTATCGAATGGCCACACCTCAGTCTACACGACCAAGCGTCTCCTCAGGCACAGGGTTACCAGGGAGTACAGACTAACCGAGAGTAAGGGTAGAATGGGGCAAAAAATAGTCATCACAGTCTCGAGGTGGAAAACGTTCAAGACTGTGACAAGCAAAGCCTAAACTTTAGATCCAATAAGAGGGAGGGAGCAAGATTTGGAGGTCTCACTATTTGCAATTAAAAGGAGATTTGCCTTTTTAAAAAAAAAAAAAAAAAAAAGATTTTTACCATAGGGCGTGTGCACTCACCAGAGAGAGTGAGACGATAAGTGAGAAATCACCCCCTGAGGGGATGGCCATGCCACAATCCTATCTCCATTCTCTTCTCAGGATTCTGGGCATGCACACATATGTGCCCAGCATGATTCTTAAGCCACCAAGTCTGGGACTTGAACCATGGTTGGCCACGTGGAGTCCGGTGCCTTAGCCACCATGCCACCTGCTGGCTCCTTGCCTCACCTGAAAGGAGTCTGAAGGCCGCCTCCAAGGACTGGGCAGCCACGGGAGGGGCAGGAGCATTCCCTCCCTGGGCAATCAGGTGCTTTCTCTGCATGATACGTAATTATAACAAGCTTTCCAACAGCTCATGGAAAAATGCACATCATGAAAAAACTATGCATGGATTTCTAAATTTTTGCACTAAAAAACTTCATACTTTTTAACTCCATCGTCCCATGAACTTTCTGAGGTCCTTCATACTCCAGATAGTAACTGTCTGGCATCACATACCCACCTGCCCCTCCTCCCTGGTACTGAGGGCTGGTACTACAAGAATATAAAGCAACTCAATTGCCAGTACGAGGGAGGGCCCTGTCACCTGCCCGCACTGTGCTTTCGTAAATGCCCAGACAACCTAGATGAACTTTTGTTATATGAGTATCTTGTGGTTGCACATATTCATTTGGGATTTCTAAGCTGGTTCACAAAAAGACCCCTCATGTTTCGTAGACGACAAAGTCTTTAACGTCACGTGGCAAGCCGAAACTTTACCTGACAACCCCTATTCCAGGCCAGTTAGGGTCATCAACATATAGGAGACCTGCCGTGGCTTCCACTTCCTGCTTGAACTCTTCCCGCAGCTGCAGAGTGCAGGTCAGGACTGGCAGTTTGCTCTGCACACAGGCCACCAGCTGGTCCACATCTTCTCCCCGCGTGCCTAGAACTGTGGTCGTTCACGGAATGTTAGAGACTTAAGGAAAAACCCACAGTGAGCCTCCTACAAAGGCAACTACTGGGCCGGTCAGAAGTTCTAGCTTATCCAGCCTGCTGGAGCTGTGGGGTCTGGGGTGGGAGTGGGGGCAGGGGCAGCCACTCAACTCAGA